AACTGTTCTATTATTTTGCTATTATGTTACTATTATGTTACTCATATTGACAAACCTTCTATTATTTTACTGTTATTTTGCTATTATGCTACTATTATTTAGTGGATATAGGGTAGAATAATGGCAGTTTTTTTTTTTGTTATTTACTTATTATTCATCCTTTATTTATTCATTCAACCTGTATAAAGGGGTCATGGATATTAATAATCAAGTATATTAATTTTTTATATTATATGTCTTATATATAATATATTACTATTATATAAAATTTTTATATTATATATTAGGTGTATGATAATATGATATCATTTCATGATATTATGTGAGAATCAAGTTGGCAAATGTGTATATTTTCTTTTTTATTAGGAATTGCAGAAGCTAATGTTTTTCTTACATATAAAAAATGACATAATAATACATATAATATCTTTTATTTTGATTTTAGAAGAGAATTAGCTCATGAAATGCTTAATGGAAATTTTAGTATAATTGAAAATTCCATGTTTTAATACATCTCAAATATAACATAATTTGAAAACTTTTCAAAAAAAAGAAAGAACATGATAAAATCATTTATTTATAATTGTGTTATAAATATTATAGTACTAGAACAAGATACTATTGTACTTGTAATGCTTTAAAAACAGTATGTATTAAATGCTTTAGTAATCATATTTTAAATTTATAAAAAATATATCAAAATAAAGATATAATCTTAAGCAATTTATAAATAAAATTTTTTTAATTATTATTATATAATTTACAAAAATATTTATAAAATTTTACTATACTAAATTAAGTACAACAAAAATATCTAAAATAATTTTTTATATAAGTTTAATTTATACAAAATTTTATATATAAATATGGTTAGATTTTTTGCATAAATAAAATATGAGATTTAATATATATTTTAGCAAAATATCAATAAAATTCATTGTAATACTATTGTATAATGATTTTTTTAATTTGTACTAAATTTAGTACAAAAAGCTTATGGATACCCATTAATTTAAAAATTTTTTAAAATTTCTAAAAATTTAAAATTATATATAATTTGTTATACTAAACAAATTTTACTTAAAAATGAAATTTATTTACTTATAAAAAATTGATTTTTAATATATAACAATTATAATTACTAATTTTAAAAAATTATTATTTTATTAATATTAAAAAAAAAAAAAAAAAAATTATTATTTTCATACATGTGTAACATTGTATAAAATCACATAATTCTAATTATCAAATCACATAATTCTAATTATCTTAAAAACATAACATAAATTTTTAATCTTTTTTTTTATTTAAAATTATAGTTTTAAAGAATTTATATATATCTTAATTTTTTGTTTTATACCTTACATATTTGGCTTTGTACAAATTTTTAAAAAGTGTCCGCAATAATATGTCCCCCCACTGTATTAATGAATCAAAACCGATCAAAAGGCGTAGAAATATCCCTTAAACTGTTTCCAGGCAAATTTTCCTGGAAATTTCATGATTGATCTGTGATTAGGCTATCAAATTATATTAAATTGTAGTTTAAATCGTAGTAAATACGTAGTTAAATTGACAGTTTAAGGGATAAGTCTGTTGCTTCGCTCCAGACAATTAAGAACATTGTGCCGATATATATACATACCCGTATTCTACAGTAAATAAGCACCACACCCTCTACCCTATTTTTTTAAATGTCAGATTAACGGACATTGCAATGAGATCTTTAGCCAAGTTATTTCCGCTAATCTGGCATTTAAAAAAATGGGGTAGAGGGTGTGGTGCTTATTTACGGTAGAATACGGTAGTTTGTTTTGTATACGTATCAAATTAATTATAACGATATATAATATTTTTTTAATTAATTTTAGTTACGTATACGTATGATATTACAGTTTATCAGGTGAAAATAGAATTTCCTTTATCGTTATTAAGAGTGTACGTAATAAAAAAAACTCAGTTGTGATTATCCAATAGAAACCATTCACGTGATAATTAGCCGAAAATATTTTTGTAAAAGATCTACGATTAATCTTAACGCAACCGCCTAAGTTCGGGGCATGAAATTTCATCAGAGAACTTTGAACCATGCTATATAGTAAGGCCAAAAAGTGATATTTAAATTGGCGTGAGATGTTGCCAACTCAAGATTAAGATGTTCACAATATTGTAAATTTCGATTTCTAAAAATTGATATATTCCACGGATTTAAAGAAGTATTGTAATACAAGTTTATAATTGTTTCAAACTTTAGTCAACATATGATACATATGATCGATTATGCAGTATGATTGTTTATAAAATTACACATTGTCGACATTGTCGAATCTTCAAGTGCCACGTCTCTCAATTGCCTAAATCACGTATGGCATGTGAAGATGTTCAAGCCAGTTTTCTGGTCTGAGGACAACCGATGTCAAGATCGAATTGCTGCGTCATCATTTGATAGCTTTGGCGATTAATTTACATCATGATTACTGCATTTGAAAGATTGGAGAGGCGTACAGATGATTTATTCTAACTCCATAATACGTTGATCAAAATAGCTACTAATATTTCCTCTTTTAGTGTAAAGCCTTCCTAAGAAGTTATTTCACTCGTTTTCTAACATTGAACTCTGACACGGTTACACTTCATAGTAAGTAATTCTTTGTTCTCAAGAAAACCTGAAATAAATAAATTGGAAGTGGCTGTTTAGCTTAAAAGAAATAAATCCCGCGTAATTTTTATCTTGTAAATACATAAGGCATTTAATATTTGATTTGTTAAAGGATAATCATGACCGATATTGATAACCCTGTATTCGAACAACGTCATTCTGATCCGAGTGAATTAAAACATACTGACACGGAAAATAATGAGCAAACTCAGTCTTACGAAAAAGTAGCACCAAAAACTGCTGTTGAAAATTCGACACACAATTCCGTCGAGAATGCAGTTACTGAAGAGTCCGTAAACGGTTATACTAAAAACGAAGAAAGGGAAGAAAAAGAAGATCCACCTTCTCCCCCCAAGGAACAAACTTCAACAGATAAATCGACAGAGAAAATTAAGGATGTTATTGAAAAGGTTAACACAACGACAAAGAAAAGAAAAGTTGCTACAAGTATGTATATAATTCTTAGGTTGTACTGTGCATTAAAATTAAAATTTTTATTTACCTTGATTTATCTTGTTATTCAATTATCACATTTTATTAGACCCATTTGTTCGCATAACTCCCACAGGTAATTCGTGTTCTACCAAGATAGCTTGATTTTGTGTGTCACGTTCCTCAATTGATCATTTAATGTCTAACGTGATTCACAATTTTTTCTGTCGTGTAAAAACTTGTTAATTTCTAATTTTTGTTCAATTCTGCTTCCAGTGAAATATCTTGTCTATTGGGAAAATCCTGTGCACTCTGGTTCTGTATTGGCAGGCGCTTTGTCCTTTATTTTCTTTACCTCTTACTTTTCATTGCTCGACGCTTTATGCTATTTGACGTTTTACTCGTTACTTTTCAATTTGTTGCATGTTCTTTCAAGAGAGCAATTGCAAAAGTTTTTGAAAAACGATGTTGTTAACCCATTCGAGTATGTTGTTACTTTGATCCGGATTTGCGATCTGTAAATTAAGAATTTATTCACGGATTTTATATGTTTTTCAGAAAGTTCTTGAGCGAGACACCTGTTTATATTGATCGTACTACTGCCGACAAATATATTAACATTTGTATCAATGGCATCAACTACTTGCTGTTGGAAGGCCAACAAATCGCTTTAATCGATGATCCGATGAGATCTTTTAAGGTAATGATTAGTATTAAATTTATTGCTTGATTTACGATAAACAAAAGTTGATTTATTGCTTCTTTTAGTATCTTGTGATTCTTTACATATCCTGGAGCATCATGTCATTGATGAGCTTCCAATCCTTTATTATAACTGGTAAACTATATATTTTACTATTTGGGATCTTAGCTAAGCAAACCAAGTCACGAAACAAAGTAAATTATGTCCCGTGACTTGGTTTTCTTAGCAAAGGTCCCATTTGTTCTTTGTCTCAATTTTGTGAAACACTTTAAATTTTATTGTGGCTTAATCCGAAATTATTTCACTGTTTCATATAGCACTTATTCTCGGGTTTACTCTTCCGAAGGCCTATTTGTGTAATAAGACTTTGGTTGATCAACAATTGGAACATATACTTAAAATTGTATATGATTATTGGGATCGGTATGTTTGCTTTTCATGTCAATTTATTCAATTTATCGTATTTTATATTTATTTTTTTAACTCTGTATACAGCTTTGTTGGCCTTGCTAAACACCATACAAAGGGTTATTTCGATAAAGTTCAACCTTTAATGGCTGGCACAGGTTTGTTTCCCAATAATAAGACCACTGAAGAACCTAAAGAAGAATAATTCATTTGTTCTTTGAATCGGATATGCGAACTTGCGTTGTTGCTATAGTTTTAAGTTGTTGGGTTGATGATGATTATTGATGGTTGAGCTAGCTGCTATAAAAAAAAAAACAAAAAAAAAAAAACAAAAAAAATTCTGTCGACAACAATCTTGTTTGTAAATAACTATTCTTTTTCCTTTATTGCTTATTCGGAGGGGATATGTGTGTATTGAAAACCAAAAAAAGAAAAAAAATATTTGCATTTTTTTTAGTTGATATGTCTCATCAAATCTTAGTTTTATCATTCATTATTAATTCTTTTAAATAAAGTAAAATTGCAGCGTTGATTATCGAGGGAAGTTATTTATTCTGTTGGTACAATGACTAATAGATTAGTGATGTCCAAAAATTGAAATTCGTGTAATATTTGCACCAATCAGAAAAATTAAAATTTTTTTAAGTTCTAGCAAAGGTTTTTTAATAATTTTTTAATTAAATTTAATGAATTGAATTAAATATCAGAAAAAATGTGCAAAATCAATTTTTTAAATTAATTTTTAAAATTAAAATCTAATTTGAACAAAATTTTAATAGGTCAATACTGACATAATAATTAAAAATTAATAATTTATAAAGTAAATGATTATTAATTTTTAAATATTGTTATATTTTGGATTTTTTTTTGTTCTTTTTAGTGGTTTTGTTTTTTTTTAAGTTAGTTTAATATTACTATTGTTACAGGGTTGTAGCCTTCTTGGTACAATACAATCAAGTAACAAGGTCACCTGGTACAGTGATTGACTATTGAAATATATATAAGGTGGAGGTGTAATAGTTTATTTTACTACACAGCAGCAAACAAATGGTTCAAAATAGTAGATTAACTTTTATTAAATAAACATACAATAACAATCTTGTTTATAAAAATTACCTTAAAAAAAGAATATTATTTTTACAAGTTGAAGGTAAAGATAGAAAGGTTTAGATTGAAGTATAAGAATTTAGAATTGGCAAGAAAGGGTAAAAGATACCTTTTATATATCTTTTTATCTAACAGGAATAATAGGAATTCAAGTAACATTACTTGATATTGTACTCAAAATAATAGATGTTCGAACAATATCAAATATCATTGTACTTAAGACAGTGAAGATTTAAACAACATTAAATAATATTATGCTTGAAGTAGTAGAGACTGTGCAGAGTTAACTAAGAATATTGTTTATATCATTTGTTATTTGTATTTGAAACATTTGAAGCTTGTGTTTAGACACTTGGATTTACAGTCAAAGTCATAAGTATCTCACCCTTTCTAACTTTTTAAATTGAAAAGATATAGTTTTAAAATTTTTACAGCAAATAGTATTATATAAATCTAGATCAGTAAATTTTTTTTATAATTTTTTAATCATTACAACAAAAGTTAGATGAGAGCTAAACTTTTACTTGATTTTTTTTAAG